AGAAAAACAAGCAAGGGACATTATGACGCGAGCAGTGGTAGGAAGCGGAGGATGAGGAAGGCCGAGAACTTGATCGTTGGAAGGATAACATTAATAGAGATAAGAGGGAAGTAAATCTGATAGCGGCTCAAATAGGAAACATAGAACATTGGAGACTGTATAGCTGTATAGGGACATAATAGATAAACCAGCAGAGTATAACTTTTAGCGAGTTTTTCTTCTATCAATACCTAGAATTCCTCCTTACCTTTGGGTGGTTGGAGACAAGTTACAGCTACAAACTTGATGCCGTCTATCATGATGACACGACCGATAGTGCTGCGTGACGGCTCCGTCGTTTGCTTGGCGCCATTTTCATCAATCGCATCAGTCGGACTGTCACGATGTCGTCTCCGCAATGCAGGATTATCCTTCGTTTGGTGACCGTCATCTGAAGTCTGATTCTCGCCATCTTTATTTTGGTCGCCGCTCTCAAACAACGTCGCGTTCTTTATATCTCCTTTATCACAACGACGGCTTTCCTCAATCGTCTGGTCTGTCTGGCCGAGGGTCTTCTCCAACCGTTGCCTTGAGTGATCTATAAGTTGACCAGCCATTTCTTCATTTGATATTGACCCTACCTTTTCTGGAGCGTTTGGTTCATTCGTAATCAAGCATCCGATACCTTTTCCAGTAGGCATACATGGACCAGATCTTTGCTCTAGTTCAATCTCGTATGAGCTCTTATATGCAGCAGAATTCTTGTGGTCTTTAACAGGCGTCTTTAGTGGCTGTTCACCAATACCCAATACTTTGGTTTTAATGCAGTCTATCCTGGACGGTTGAACCATTGTCGCGTCGCAACCGCAAAGGTTAATTGATATCCCGCCCAGTTTAGTCCTTTTCTTGATCAAGGAATCCTTTGGGCAATGCTTGTGAGACGAACTCTTCTTCTTTTTCCTGGTCAGGGAAACCTTGGTCGGATCTTGTACTAGTTGGTAAACAGTCTTGGTCCCCAACTCGTTCGCATCCAGGAAATAGGATGGAGTCTTGGGTACCAGAAACCCCTGATGATAAGGTACTAGGTAGTGTCACTGTTGAGGACCTCACTCCCGATGACATCCAGATCGAAGACTGAGCTGTATTAATTTCCAAAACGATAGTTTTTAATACAAGCATAATTATATGATCAGAGCCACAAGGGCATTAAGCCTGCGTTAAAGTACATGTAACAGTTAAAGGAATAAAGACTTCTGGCTCCGAACATACAATATGATGAGGTCGGGCTTGAGTGTGCGGACACCAGGCGCGTACGCAGGGGGGGGGGGGGGAGGGGGGGGGGGGGGAGGGGAGGAGCGAGGCGGGGGGTCTGAACCCCCCTTTAGCTTGTGTGTGTGTGTTTTGGAGGAAACCCCCCCCCCTTTTTTTTTTTAAAGGAAAAAAATTGAAAAAAATTGTGGTAATGGGTGACAAAAAGCTGACCTTACCCCTCCCCCCAACGAAACGAAATATCGATCGGCCAAATTTTCAAATTTTTGGACACCCCCCCCCCCCCCCAAAAAAAAAAAAAAAAAAAAAAAATGTCCTCTTATAAAATGAAGGGGTAACCAAAGTTCGGGGACATTTAAGAACACATTACAAACTGTGATATTCGATCTATGATTTCTCATATTCTAAACAAATAGACGGCAAAGTTTTTTTTTTACTACAGACTGGTTCAACTAGAAAATTTATCGTCGTTCGGGTTTCGGAGATATCGCGATCTAAAAATTTGTTGTCCAATCGTGCGTGCGCGCTGCATCTAAAAAAAGTCATAAAAACAACGAGACCTAACTTCACGCACTGGGGTTTACAGTTGATTTATCAACAAAAGTGATCCATCAAAAATAAGTTCTATCATAATTTGCAAGGCAAGATATCATACAATCCGTTTGTACTACTTTTACTCACAATTTTGAGGAACTCAAATTGAAAATTGAAAATTTTCAGACCCTTAAGGCCTTATCAGTAAATTGATAATTTTTCGGAACGGAGGCAAATGGTTGTAAAATTTGCCGATCTTTTGTCAATATTTTCACAATTTCGTACCAAATTCCAAAGAAAATTTCATCTCTGGGTAATTTTATGTTCCTCTTTCCATTGGTGATATCAGATTGTCGAAATCTTCCTGATTTTTTGAAATAGCGAACTTAGGTCACGCGCGAACTTTGGTCACACCACCATAACCCTTATCAATATCATCATGCACGACAGATTGTTATATTTTGTTCTTGATCTAGGCCTAGATCTTGATCTAATGTTCTTCAATGCCTGTATAAAACATCACTTGTCCTAATCATAAACCCAAGAAATCATAACAATCTAGACAATAATATTAAGAACAATTCTCACCTTACCGTTGGGTGACGACTCTTGTTGCTTGTCCATCGAGTGTACGTGTGTGATAGTGCCTGATTCGTCCGTAATTAACCTTTGTTTACTTTAACTTTGTTTATGGCATGTAAACTAATGAAATGAGACTATGCGCAGAGATTTGTTGCGTAACAATAATTTTTACGCAATCTATATTAGCGCGCATTACACTTTTGCAACCGGTGGGTGGTTCCCATTTAAGGCGGTGTCAGACAGAGGCCAACAACCCGGAAAATAATTAGTTATCCACTTGATGGGCTGTCTGTCATCAATTTTCCCTTAAATAAACCCTTTAAAAATCTTTTTAATTTCTCCCTTGAAGGGATTTTTAGGGATTTTTCTGTCTGACACCAATGCTGAAATAAACCCTTTAAAGGTCAGTGTAAGGTTAACGTTTGACTGGCTGGCACATGGTTTTTAACGCGATATCAATGACAATGACAATCACAATCACAAATTATTCTCATGTCACCCACATTGGGGTATTGGAGAAGTTTACAATCAGTTTGAATTTGTCAATTTAACACTGTGAAATATACAATACAAATATAATTAATCCATACAAAATAACACTATCTACTATCTACAATAGTGAGAAAAATTATGATGATAATGACAATAACGATATGATGATGATAATAATAATAATAAAAACAAACAAAACGATAATATTAATTAAAACGATAATTAATGACGAAATTAATGGAAGCAATTGAAAAAGAAATTTACTGGCACCAGTAAATTTTTTATCTGAATTAATGAATTACTGAAAGTATTCTTGATATCAATTTAAAAAATTGATATCAGACAAAAAAGAGGAAAATAAAATTAATATTGAACTCATAACATGTTTTTTGCACATACTTAAATTAATGAAAATGAAGCAGTATTTTTCGACAGAATTTTACTAAGAACATGCGAACAATTATTAGCGCGCATTTAATGTGACGCGTTAATTACGCATTACTTGTGTTTGAACGTGTGATGTCACAATGCTTATCTACCTAAACGGCGCATGCACACTGGTCCATCATTAATCTAGATAATAGTTATCCGGATCATTCGTAGCCTGTCTGTCACCGACGAGAATGAATTATCTGGATTTCTAAAATGTAATTTATTAAAGACGAGTCGGGATTTTTCTGTCTGACACCCCCTATATACTACAACTGTATTTGTCTGTGGTGCCCGTGATGTAGGCATAGACATATACACTTTTTACCCCAATCCTTACTCCTTAGAAGTGAAAAAATGGCATACATCTCTCTCGTACGGTCCCAGCTAGAGTATGCTTCGGTAGTATGTATGAGACCCCAACAAGCGAAATCAGATAGACCAACTAGAGAAGATCCAAAGACGTGCACTTCGTTTCATTTGTGGAAACTACCAGCGTGATGCCAGTGTAACATCCACGCGAGAACAACTTAATCTCCCAACTCTTGAAGAAAGAAGAAAGCGGGCACGTTTGTCAATGTTCTACAAGATAGCAAATAACAAAATTTCGATACCAATACCGGATTACATCAAACCGAGGGAGCGAACTACAAGGAGGAGTCAACAACAACGATATATGAGACTATAGGCTCTTCAATGGACACTTACAAATTTAGTTATTTCCCCAGGACACTGAAGGATTGGGACAGCTACCTCAAATCATCGTTGAAGTCTTTGGAGCAGTTCAAGGTGGCTCTTGAAACAATTTAGTTCCCTTTTCAGGAACTGTACCGCATATAGATGTATATAACAACTCTATGCTTGACCCTCATCTAGATGCTGAACAGGCGTTGATGAGTACTACCATAGAAGTAGAAGGAAGTGGCCGTCTGACACCTCATCCCCACGGAAATTGTTGTCAGTTTAATGTGTTTTGTATAATGTCCAGTCACACAACTTCCTACTGACAAATGTTTGGTCATGGGCTAGATAGGTGTCAAATCAAGTCGACTTTGGGGTCTATTTGGGGGGCTCGGAGGCTGAACCCGACGGCTACTGTCGGACTGAAAACATGTTTGTCAAAGAGTTAGATGGTCTAATTAATTAATGCTAATTGAATTGAATTGGTTTAATAGGAAACAACACCATAATATGCAGCTCAAGGCTAATATTGTCTGGTCTACAAAGTTATCAGATATTTACATCATAATAAAAACATCAAAATACAAAAGCAATATAACAAAATGGCAATGGTATCATCACACAGCGATAATATACAAAGATTCACAAATTTCTTTCTCAGAAATACAGTCCTCTGGGCGGAATCTGGGCCCAGTTTTCATCAAACTTGTTATCAATGCCAAGTGCCAAACTAATGGAATTTCTTCACTGCCAATCATAATGCAATGACTTCAGTAGCTTATATCTGATATTCTTACCCTGTCACTCATAATACGTGTTATGTACCAGGGTCTCAATGTAAGCTTGTTGTTATTCACATTCATATCATGTTATTCATGAAGTGCACCGGTGCCTATCAAGTGCCATAATTTGTTCCTTCTTGCTTGCTATACTTCTGCATTGTATGCATGCAAGTAAGTTGCTATTGAAATTGTATTTATGTGTACCAATGCATGAATGCCGAAATGCGCAATAGTTTTAAGTTGGACCAGACGCCATTTTCATTGCATCTGACGCATTTGTTCTTCTTCGGACAACATTTTAATTATCGGAAAAGTGTCACGTGGTCAGCTTTCTCTGGGAATTTACATCACACAGGTCAGAAAAGCAGCTGATACGTGAATACTGGGTGAAATATATTGTGTGTTGCTTTGATGGAATATGAATAATGGGGAATTTTAAACACGGAAGTACGATAAAAATGTCAGAGAAGAAACGAATGGTTATTGCTAGTCAAGACTATGTAGTACGGGGTGTATGTATTGAGAGTAAGTGGTGAACCAAACAGAAGAACTTTAAGAAAGTTATCAAACCTTCTGATGTGCATAAAGCTGAATGAAGCATGTATAATCATATTGTTTTCTTTTATTAAGCGTTCAAAAGAAAGTATTATAGACCTCTCTTTAGTATATTGAATAAATCTAGTCATCTGATTGGTCGAAATTGGAGTCGTAATTTTATCCATGCCCTCCTACCGGTCAACAGTTTTTTGTTAAGATGCCTGCATGCCCGCCTACCGGTCAATAGTTTTTTAAAAGATGCTCGTTGCCCCGGGTGACGGGCCGCATTAATAAAATTTACTGAGATCCCCAATGGTCAATGTGTAAAAAGTTTCTTTGACCGGGGTAATGATATATTTTGTAAAGCGCTTTATATGCGAGCGTGGATACCAAACAGTGCTTTTGGTCTGCGATTCCCGAGTGATTGTAACATTCAGGCAGCTATCCAGCGAAGATTTACAGGCAGTGTCTCTGTGATTTTCTGTGATGTTTAACCAGTCTTTACTCAAGAAAAGGATAAAGGAAGAATTACTCGTAGACTTGTTTGTGAATTTGGTATATAAAAGATATATCGACCGCTTTAATATTCGAAGCATAGCTGTTTCTATACTGGCTCTCAGGAACGGGCGGCGCGCCTCGGGGTCATATCAGGATGTTACGTCAACTTGTCCCTATAGAAACAGCGATGCCTCTCATAGCAGTCGATATATCTATAATATATAGAAGAGATCCTCCACCCTCTCTCTTTCCTAATCTCTCTCTCTCTCTCTCTCTCTCTCTTTTACTACCTGTACTTTCTCTCTCTTTTCTCTTTCTTTCTATTTTTCTCTGTCTCTTTCTCTCAATGATGATGATTATGACGGCGATGATGACGATAAGCGTAGATAAGGCGCGATTATTTATCAAACACCATTAATTTTGTGTCTTCCCTTTCAATTTATTCTGTCTCCCACCGCTATTTTCACCTTTCTTCTTCCTTTTTTCTCTTCCTCTCTCTCTCTCTCTTTCTCTCTCTCTCTTCTGTCTCTCACATACTTCGTCTTTCTCTTATAAATTCCCCCTCTCTTCTCTCTTCTCACATTCCTTTTTTTCTTTTTGTGTCTGCTTATTCTCCTCTCCTGTCTGCCTGTCTTCCCTTCTCTGTGTGCATGACTGTCCATCTTCTTGTATTATGCAGGTCAATACTCTGATCAGCATGGCTTCTGAATTGAGCTCTGTAGAGGGCGTCTGTGAAGGAGACGACTGTGAGGCGAATGCAGATCTTACTTTCTATGTGAAGGAGAAGAAGAAGCTCTGCCATGACTGCGCCTCTAAAAAGGAGTGCTTAGGAATAGCAAGAAAGGGTATGCCTTATCTGTACTGTGAAAAACACGATAAACATATCGATATGTACTGTAAAACACATTGCGTGGGTTTATGTGTTTCATGCGCTGTGATAGATCACCATGAAAAGCCTTGCGTGCGACAGGATTTAGAGGACGCAATCATGGAAATTAAAGCTAAGCTCAACATTCTGAAGAAAAAGGCGATGGAGAAGTTAGAGTTATGTCGAGTCCATGGAAAGCACATTCGTGAGTGTAGACAATCCGCCGACGAACATCTGCAGAGTATCAAAGAAAAGGTTGATTCCGTAATCGAAAAGGCGATTGCAAGCGACAAAGTCAGGGAACAGGAGGATACTGCTAAAATCGACCAGGAGATTGATGGGAAAAACCAAAAACTCCAAGAAGAGATTCAAAAGATGCAGGATAAGATTCGAGAGAACGATGAGGAGAGAAAGAAGCGACATGATGAAAACAACACAAATGCAGATAAAAGACAAGAACCAATACAAAATAAACAATGCGAACTTCATGCTGACATTCAGAACATCGCTCAAGAGATCGAGAGAAAGGTTGGCGAGTTGGAGAAATCATGGCAAGATGACACGAAAAGCACAAAGACTGCAAACCAGACACTTGACAACATACTCGAAGACGATCAAAATATTGTCAAAGACGGGCATCGTGTGAATACATCAGTGAGTGATACCCTAAAAAAGCCACTGAATGAGGGTGAGGTGAAAGAAATCAATCATATTGTATCAGGTGTGAGGTTTGTGAAGGATGCTGGGAGGGAGATGATGTATGATGGGAGGATTGATGGGTTTGGTGGCGAGTGGAAGCTCATTGATACAATCAATGTGACAAATGACATCACATACCCGATCATTGTAGGTTGCATGGATGAATGCAATATTATCATTACAGATAGACTAGAAGGTAGTTTGCATACATACATGTTGAATTTGAACACTAAACATACTCAGAGAGTGGTAAAATTTAGTAATACATCATGGGTTGTGTCCTGTGCAGTGCTGAATGATGACAAGGTAGTATGCGGTAAAGCGTACAGAGGTAGTACAGGAGACAGTTTGAATGGACGCATCAGTGTGTATGACAGACGATGGAAGCTCATCAATGACGTCACAATACCAAGAAACACGACGAATGATTTCACACGGGTGGATGTTACAGCTGACCAGGATGGGATGATCATCACTGCTGAGGAGGGTCAGTCTAAGATATACGTCATTAACCCAGCTGATGGGAAGATTATGGACACCATCACGTGTAAAAAGAAAATATGTATTTGTGATATGCTGTCATCAGGTCACATCATCGCTCGACCCTGGCCAGAAGATCGCAGAGTGCTCATCATTGACAGAGAGGGTGCTCAAAGGGAAATCCCCCACAGTAATGTGATCAGAAATGTATGCATTGATCCTAAGACAGACGACCTCTACGTCGTGACATCAGATGAGGATATCAAAACGTGCGTGATTGATCAGGTGATGAGTGAGGGTGAAATGAAGAAGAGAAGAGTAGCACCATTCCCTCTATCAACAGGAATGGTGGAGGGACCTGAAAGGAGGGCTCACCTCCTCTCGTCTCGAGTGATAATGACGTCATCAGGAAAAATGATTGCTTGCGATGGAGACAATATTCTCGTATTCAAAAAGCTATTCAGCCTCTAAACCAATCATAAACAATCTTTACATTTGATTGTTGATTACTACTATGGTACACTGTTAGAACGGTGTTTAAAATATCACTGTTTAAAAGAATGTTGTTTAAAAAAGTAAACAACAGGCCTTCAATCATTTTTTAGGAGACAATAATTAGTTATGTTACAGGGCACGGAATGATTATGGCAGGAATCTGATTTCTCACAAATTGATATGAATATTCATGAGGAGTTTTGGGTGGTATGATTTAGGCAGTATTGTGGTTAGACTGGCAGAAATTCCAGGAGTCAAATTTCTTGGAATAATCGTTAGACAGTGTGATCTCCTATAATCAGCGTAATGATTATGATATTAATGATTATATACACACAGAATCACATGTTTGATGAAAGTATTTGTGAATAGACCACAAGTCTGGGTCAGCGATGTTAACTATGTTATTGTCCTAAAATGTAATATAATTAGAAATACGTATCTACACATCAAGAATATTGTACATGGTAGTTTTAACATGATTTCTTGAAAGTTATATAGCATGCATGATGGTTTATTTTTGGATGTAGTTAATTTTTCTTGTACATATCTTTGCAACTGGTTTTTAGTTTTCATTTCAATTTCATTTGTTCAATGTATTTTATGTCATGTAACAATTTGTTAAAGTTAAGCTATTTGAAATTGTATCTTGAAACATTCTTGAAATTTCGCGAAAATGTAACAACAGGTACGTAATAGAAGTTTTAACATTATATACATTTATTTGCATTTCGGAGCTTTGCATTCCCGATGTTGAGAGCAGATAGTCTTTTAAATAGGAGACGATGTGCTTCCTTGAAACTTCAGTTGTGAACATGAAATCAATGTTTGATATTTTAATCTTTGGTGAATATATAGCGTGTTTTGCTTCGTTTTGTATATTCAATCATCTGCCACAAACTCAAATTCATATACGTAAGTGTAAATATGTAAATACCTATTTGGTTTCATGGTTATGAATATCTGGTGTTAACTCCATTTTAGTATTGGTTATTGGTCAATTCTGACGCAAAGACTTTCGAAAATCAACGGAAGGCAATTTCATTATCTTTGTCCATCATTTTTTTTAGAAGAGTGAACATCACCACGATGTACAACGAAATCCGAACATGATTGATATTGGATATACAATAGGGCATTGCAATCGCCTCTGAGTTGATTATGATTATTACCAACTACTCTGGCGATGGAAACAAAATCAAAGAGTGTTTAAAAGAGACATAACCATCCGTTCCCCCAAAAAGATTTTGTTATAGTACATCAAAATGTTCAGTTCGAACTTTACAACTATCCTGATGTATCTAGTCTAAAACGGTGTTTGTAAAATAAATCAAAACACATAAGGTAGTGAAATGCTCATATGTTATCATTGTACATATGAATTTCAATGTAGATACAAATACTGAAGTTTTATAAGTTGGAGTAAAATCGTTTTGAAGAAAGATTATGTTTTGTTTTCATTCTTGGTTGATTTGGTCCGATATACTGTTCAGTGTAATATTGCTCTGGTTCATAACATTATGAACCAGAGCAATATAACAATGAGTTCCTATAGGAAATCCATTTATTCAGATGGTCATATCTCAGCCAATACTTAACATTTTCAATAGGTTTTAGATATTTGGACATTATTTTTGATGCTCTTTCGGAAAATGAAGAAATATTGAGAAATTCTAAAAATATATTTGTTCATGACGTCACACTTCACCACTGTATGGTGTGTCACATATTCAGCTCAAACTATTATTTGTTGTAAAGTAAAACGCTGTCTCTAAAAAAGATAGTGCATATTAAGGTAGTGAAATGCTCATGTGTTACCAATGTATTCATAAATTTCAATGTATATATATACATAATTTATATGTTGGAGTAAACTCGCTCGGAGATATGATTACGTTTTATTTTCATTCTTGGTTGATTTGGTCCGATATACTGTTAAAAGCTATCAGAAATATAAGGAAAATAGATCCCTTGTTGTATAGTGTGAATTCATTCTAAACTGTTTAAACAGGAAATGGCGTTACTCTCATATTTGTATGCATAACATATATATCGCTGTATTGTAATATATCATTTTGAAGTGTAAGGTATTTGGTCTTTTAGAGCGTATCTCTAATCGAGTACAATTGCTTACATTTGGGAAAGAAGTCTCATAACGCTTTCCCTAACATGAGTTCACATGTTCTTCAATATTTTATAAGTATAGTGTATATTGAAAAGTGTAGTTGAATACGTAATGTCATTGTGTACAAGATATTTTAGTGTTATCATTCAATGTTTAAATTGCATTGCATATAGATATGTAATATTACAAGATGGAGTAAAATCACGTAGACTAAAATGTATTATCTATATACTTGGTTTGTTTGCTTGTTTGTTTGTTTTACCTGACTACTTAGTAATTAGTAGCTATTAGCTTAGTTGTTTGGTTAATATAGGCGGATTAATAGATAGAGATCCATTCCATGATTAGAGACATCTGCCTGAAACAGCCACCTTTTTAATTAAAGGTTTTGTTATGGTGTGTCACATGTTCAGCCAAAACTATTATTATGTGTGCCCATGCCTTGATATTCGTTCCAAACTAATGCTTATAACATGCGGTGTTCCTCAGTGAAGCATTTCAGGCCCAATTCTATTTTCAAGTTATATAAATGATATATGTATTTGTATAAAAGACTTAAAACTATTAGTGTACGCAGATGACAGCGTACTACTCTATTCAAATCCTGATTCTAAATATATATTGAGGAAAAGCTCAGTGAACAGCTGTCTATGTGTGTCGATTCCATGATTAAAGAGACAGCTGCCTGAAACAGCCATCCTATTATTTGTTGTAGAGTAAAATGTTGTCTCTAAAATAAAAACTAAATTATACAGCTTTAAACTTAATGTACATACTGCTACATGAAATATATTAAACCCGTTTGATAGTTATAGCTTAGCCTTTTCTTATGATGGGATTCGTGTATATTAGTATTTGATATCAATTGTTTGATCTGATAATATAACAAATGTTTAAAATTAAATTTACAAATGCATAATAAAGATAAAATACGTACAGGACAGCATGTACGTGCTGTAATAAACGTTATATAAATTTGACTATTATTATTGTTATTATTATTATCGTATATCATTACATTCATTATCATTATAATTAGTATTGATAATTACAACTCAGCATTTCCTTTCATTATATTATAATATGTATATATTATTGTTTGATTTAATATGATAATATTTCTCATACATGTTTATTCAAGATGTAAAAAGGAAGTACTTTATTTACATCACTGGTTGAAGGTACAGTTATATTTTAGTTTGTCTTTTAGGAAGGTAATGATAGATATTCTCAGATTTAAAGGTGGTGGGTCCCTTTTGCAGGCTGAAAGTATAAACTTGTGCGAATCCTATGGTAAAAAAGAGATAATACCAAGTAAAAACTCCCGTGAAAAGATTGGAACTGGTAATTGCCTTTAATATGGAATTATATCGACCGTTAGGAATTTTCGCACCGGGTTTCGAAAATTTTGCGTAGAAAATACAGCTCATTTTTGTATGTTATTATCAAAGAAAAAAAGAAGTTAGTCAGGTAATCACTCAATAGTGTCTGACAGTAAGGTTTCGAAGTAACCGGGTTTCCTTGCTTAATGCGAGTACTAGGACATCGATAACGTTTAAGTTTTACAGATCGGACATTCGTAACATATTCATAACTCCTGCAAAGTCCTACAACATTCGATGGTGGCTGCAAAAGGGATACACTACCTATAACATCAAATGGAAGTACATGTAGAAAGACAGTACAACTTTGTAAGCAAAATATAAAAACGGTATTTGTAGAATATCTTATATCATCAGCTGGTACAGTATAATTTGGCAAACAAAGAATCGGAGTGATGGTGGTATAAAGAATTAGTGCCTAAACGAAAGACTTTCCTTTCTAATAAAAATATATTAACGTTGCTTGAATTAGCCCAATTGTTATAACACAAGGAAATATAATTCATTGCTTGCTTTCATTTGTTCATGTTCGGGAATGTTCTTCTTTCGTACGCTAGCTTTCTAATGAAAGATTATCACATATACATGTAACAGTTTTTTTTCTTCATGCGATTGGTTCAGATGTGATTATTTCATCAAAACAAAGAATTCTTGCTAAATATATTACTCATTGCGGATGTAGTATCGAAATTAATATCGCTTGTGACATTCATTTGTCTCGCAATGTATGGTCAACATGGCGCACGAAACGTCGCGATCTTTTAGATTCCTTGTTGACCATACATTGCGAGACAAACGAATGTCACTAGCGATATTATTTTCAAAGAACTCTTGTTTATGATTTGGACTGATTGTCTAATCCATGGTCTTTATCTCTATCATGTGTCAGTTTTCTTTCTAAATAAAAGTACCCATCACTTCACGAGCAGCTCTTGGCAGACTCGTTATTTCGTGTGTCACAAAATACGTTTAATATGTTTTTATGTATACCTCTCACTTTCTATTTATTTTCTTACATGTCTGTAACATACCACTATTGCTGTACATCCTTTCTAGAAATTGTCCATCCTCTATTTCCCCCTCCCTACCCTCTCTCTTTCGTTCTCTATCTCTCATATTTTCTTTCTTTCTTTCTCTCTCCTAATCTCTAACTCCCTCTCTCTCTCTCTCTCTCTCTCTCTCTCTCTTTCTTTCTCTATCCCTCCCTTTTTCTTATCTCTTTCTCTCTCCCAATCTCGAATTCTCTTTTTCTCAGGCTCTTTCTCTCTCTCTCTCTCTCTCTCTCTTTCATTCTATAGTTCTCCCCTAGAAGTCCCACACTTGTGCTTGTTACCATGGTTACTCAGTTGATCTAGATTGTGACTTAAGGGTTGATCACACATAAACAATAATGATTTGATAACACGATTTTTAAATGAAGGTACAACCGTCCATCCATGAAGAGGCCAACATAACACCTAAACACATAC